TTTTGAGATATTGTTTATTGAAGTGTTTTTTATGTAAAATAGTGTTTATAATTTCAAATATATATAAAGTTTAAGTCATGGGTATAAGACATTGTAATAAAAATTTTGTTTCAAGTTTTAAAAGGAGAAAGTTTTTATAATAGAAAGAATAAGATTTTTGAAAGAGCACGAAGAGTTATAAATCTAATTAAATTTCTGATTAAATAAAACGGACATTCTCTTTTCATAATCAAAACACCCATTCACACTGTATTTGTATATCCTTATAGAAAGATGAGTTAGAAACTAATTGATTCTCAAATTCATAGTAAATAATTGGCATATATGATAACCCTTTAAATAAGTCATTATTTAAAAAGAAAGAATTAATTTATACTAAGACATTATCTTTTGTCAGAGAATTAAGAGAACAACTCTTCCACTAGAAAAATTTTTTTATAATCCATTTTTAATGAAAAACTTCTTCTTTAAACCAAAAAATCAAAATACTTTTATTTTGTGCTAAAACTTTATCTAGTAAAACTTTAACAACCAAAACAAAATTATTGTTTGTGTCCTTTTTACCTATTCTCTCAAAATTGTGTTATATTATACCCACCAATTAGAACAGAAGATAGAAGAAAATTTACATAGTAATATTTTCCATCTAGATAGACAGAATGTTTTAATTATTAAAAATAAAACTTACACAAATACAAAATATCTCTCAATTACCATCACCAACTTAGCTGTTTAAAAATATCTATCTTGTGATGTTACAAGTACTCATGTTACATAAGTCATTCTATTCTTTTACAAAATTTTTATGTTTTAAATAAGAAAAACATTGTGTTAACCAATTACTCAATAAAACCAATAAACTTTGAGTACTTATTTTATTCACAGATATAATTTGTTAGGTTGTGTTATTTATCCATAAAAACAATCAGTTATTTTAAAAATAGAAACTATTTTAGAGTGTCTCTTTTTCATTTTTTAAAAAAACCTTAAAATAAGATTGTCTCCTCTTCTATTTTTCAACGAAGGATAAATTAAATTAAAACTATAATAAAACTAGAAGATATTTTGTTGGTGTTCACAGGAGACAAGGATGAGAAAATATAACAAATGAAAAGATACGTTTCATAATTATTCAAAATTGGCTCTCTCTGTATAGAGCAAAGAAGAAGCTTTGGCTCTTTTGGATTATCATATAATGAGATGAGATTAGACTAATTATTAATGGAGAGTCAAATAGAACATAGCGTGAATATCATTTATGATAAATTTATTAGTAAGAAGAATACAACTGGAAAGTATATGTGTCCACATGAAGGATGTGGGAAATGTTATGATAGTGAAGAGTCTCTTCACCGACATATGAATCGACACTCTACTATTAAAGAACATATTTGTGAATTTTGTGGTAAAGCCTTCTTAAGAAAGTCAGAGTGTGAAATTCATGTAAGAATTCATACTGGAGTTAAGCCATATTGTTGCAGCATTTGTCAGAAACGCTTTGCTCGTGCTACTGATCTTAAGATTCATATGCTTTATCATTCTGATGAGAAACCATTTCAATGTCCATTCCCAGGTTGTACTTTACGTTTTAAACGTAAGAGTGATGCTAAAAAACATTTAAGAATACATGTCAAAAAAATTCATGGAAATGTTACAGAACTAATATCCCCACATTGTTCTGCTTTCAAGGTTGTTCCTAAACAATTAATAAGTATTGAGCCATATGGAGTAATGTATTATTGTAATTAGTAAAGGTATTTTTATATATTTTATTTTTATTGTTTTAATAATAAAAAAATAAATAAGAAAGAGAAAGTTGATTAGTTAAAACGATAATTAGGAAATAAAAAAGATGATTTCAATTTATTGCCAATTAATTGTAAGTTTTTCTCCAATATTTTCAGAGTTCTTTAAGATAATACTGCAGAATTCTTCATATGAAATCTTTCCATCTCTATCTTTGTCAGCTTCGATAATAGTTTTATCAACTACTTGTTGTAATTGTTCATCAGTAAAAGAGCTACCAATGATCATTTTAAGAACTTTAAATAACTCTGGATTTGATATAAAACCATCATTATCAACATCATACACCTGGAAAGCAAATCTAAGTTTTGCTTCTTGACTTCCTTTATCAGAAAGGGTTGAAAGGGTTGCAACAAATTGAGAAAATTGTACCTCTTCATTTTCATAACGATTGAAGATTTCAAGAAGTCTTTGAAGAACTGGGTTAGAAGTTAATTCAGCAAGGTCATCGTACTCTTCAGAAGCACCTTCTTTAGCTTTCATTCCCAATTTTTTAAAACGACGGAATAAACGTCTTAATTCGCTTTCAGTGAAGTTGGTTGTGGCCATCATTTGTTCAACGTCTTCTTGTTTTAATCCAGAGAGGGTATTTCCCATTATTATTTTAAATCTGATAATTTTAAGTTTTTTTAATTTTAAGTTCAGCGTAAGAAAAAAGGTGATTTTATGTGTTAATGAAAAATGAAATAGTTTTAGTTATTTTTTACCGTTCTTAGTTGTGCAAAGAAATTAGCTACTTGTAATGTATTCGTAAATGATATGCTCGTTTAATACAGTGTTTAGTTAAAAAATAAAAAAAAATCACGAAAAAAAAATGAAAAATATAAAAATAAAAAATAATAACAAAAAATAGTTTTCAAGATTTATATTATTTTTAAATCTGTCAATTTTGTTTTGTTAACTACCAAATGAATGTTATGTTAATTGGTTTTATTTGAATATTTTTATTTGAGCATATAAAGTTGATTGCATTATGTTTATTTTAAAATATAAATAATATAAAGAATGAAAGAAAAACTAATGACTTTGATAACATTTTACAATGAAAGCTCTTCATCACTTTTTGGTTCATTTTTGGGTGGTATTTCTTGTTTCCTTTGTGGGAGTATTTTTTGTATCGTATTATCCCAGTTATTCGTTTGACATTGTTCACCTATAATTTCAAAAACTTGATTTACTGTTAACACCTTTCTTCCAATACATTCAATATGTTGTTCTATTGGTAGTCGAGCTGTTGAAATATTTAATGAATTTGCTTTATTTTCACATAGCCGTTTAAATTTATTATGGTCAACAATCCCTCCAATTACATAATTTATTTCTTTATTAAAATTGTCAATAACTGTTTCACTCTCTGCTGCAAGATAAACACACTGAACTTCATTTTTAATTTCTTCAATTTTTTTTTCTTCAAACGTTATTAATTTCCATTTGTGTGCTTCTCTTTTATTAATTAATTCTTTAAGCTTTCCATTAACTCCAATACACCTAATTTCTAAAGGGTGTTCGTATTTCCAATTAGCTCCATATAACAACTGAATTTGATTAAACAATGACTTTACTTCATTTTCATTCATTTTATCATCAAAATCACAATCTATAATAACTTTCCCTCCAACTTCAAGATTTTCTGTTGTTCTTT